GTGTGTGTGTGTGTGTGTGTGTGTGTCAGGATATGGGCCCTGCCTTTCAGCTTTGTGTGAGTCTATTTCTGGAGTCTGCGAGTCTTTGTCGATATGTGAGAAAGTGAGGGCAATAGGGGAAATATCTGGGAAAGAGGGACATGGATGGAGCTCATGAGAACAGGAAGACAACATTCGTGGGGAGGCTGGGAGCTGCGGGGTGGTGGAAAGAATGAAGCTAGGAGTGCTCCAAGGGCATGGGTGTGGGTGGGGACCTAGAGGAGCGGGAGCAGTTGATGATGGTGGGACCACCTTCAAAACCGAGAAGAAAGCAGGGGCTGGGGTTTTGAAGGAGTGCCAAAAGGGGTGATGTGGGGGTGGAAGAGGGACAGGAAACAGGAGGGGCAAATCCTATGCTCCTGAGGGAGAGTCCTGGCCCCACCCATGCTCCCAAAGGCTGCACTTCTCCTCTTGTGTGTGTGTGTGTGGGGGGGGGGTAGGGGGGGAAGGAGGGGTTGGGGCAAATTTTGGATCAAGTTGGTTTGATAGGGCTGAATCTAGGCTGGGGACAGGAGACAGTGCCTGGGGAAGTTTGTTGAAAAACTGACTTGCAGTATAGCCCTGAAGACCTGCCATTACACCAGAATGGCTTCTGGCCCTCACCCCTTCATAATGCCTCCATGCACAGAATGACAACAAGGCAGTGTGCTGCCTGCAGCCTGGCTCCCACCTCTGTCCATGTATACATCCACACCAATCCCCCAGAAAGCCAGAGAAGGCAATTTGATCCTGTGCGTGTGCACAGGTCTCTCTCCATGAAAGCCTCCTCTATTCATGGCTTGACAAGGTACCTAGAAGTTCCCTTCCTACCAAATCTTCAGGGTATATTGCGCCAGACCCAACAGACAGAATGAATCCTGGTGGGATGTGGATGGGTGGGGGCTTCTCCATTGGCCATGAACATGGCTGCTGGTAAGCTACAGGTGGGGGCATGTTGCCAGAGCTCCAGTCTACCTACTACTCTTCAGAAGCTGGTAATGCCCTCCACCTTGCTTTGGTCAACATCACACCTGCCCTTAAAAGCCAGCTCAGGCCAGAGCTCCTTCAGGAAGCCCTTCAAGATCCCACTGGTTCCCATGAAACGATCTCTTCTCCCAGTGCCCATTGTTCATCCACCCTGCCCCATGAATTGGCACTGGGTTGACTAATGTCTGATGTGCCCTGTACATACTGTTAGGTTTGGTGTCACTGAATTAGGCTGTGGCTCCCTGAGGTCAGAGACTGGCCTCACAAGTCCCATTTTCACCCCCATGCAGGAGCGCAGGTATTCAATAATACAAATACTACTTGATGACAAGGAGCTCTGGTAACGGTAGTGGTTACGAATTGGGCTGCTAACCTCACGAGGGTCAGCTGTTCTGCGGGAGAAAGATGAGGCTTTTTGCTCCGGTAAAGAATTACAGCCCTGGAAACTCTGTACAGGGTCGCTATGAGTCAGAACCGACTTCACGGCACATAACAACAACAACAACTTGATGACACTTGCCAACACTCAAACTCCATGAGCCTGTGGCTAGAGCTCACACTTGGTCCACCTCTGGCTCCTTTGGGTACTTCTAGCATGAACATGCTAAGCCCATTGGCCTTGAATGTTTGGAGGAATGGGAAGGGAGACACTTTTAGGCTTTGTGCAAAGCTCAGAGCTCTGAGAGCTCTTTAGAGAGTAAAGCAGCATTAAGGAGGTGAGATGTACATTTCAGCTTGGGGAGCTGAAGGAAAAGCATGAAGGTGGGAGTACCCCACATTTGGGAATGAGTTGCGGAGAACTTGAGGATGGGCAATAATTGGTCTTGGAGGTGGAGGGTTATGGGAGGTGGTTTGAAGGAGAGCTATGATGATATTCGGGCGGCGCTGGGAAACATCATTCAAGTTCCTAGATATTCGCCCCGCCCCTGCACCTGCGAAGCCAGATTCAAGGCCTTCTCTTATAGCCTCCACTGGCTTTGCCCTGCTGGAAATTACCCTTATTTGTGCACAGACAACAGATTTACAATGCTCACCCCAACCCGCTCCATGCATATACACACTAATACAAAGGCAGAGGGACAGGAAGGAACACACAGGTTTACAAGGGCACACCCTGACCACCTCCACTTCACACTCACAGAAGCCCGAATTCTTGAGGCACGTGCCAGCAGACTGATGTGCATGCTGCTTTTACTTGGGCGACCAGTTGTGCAGATATAGGGAGCCTTTCGACCAGAAAGTAGAGGGATGACACCAGAGCTAGCACACTGGCCAGGCTCCCCAACAGCCTGACCCAGAATGGTGCTTCATTCTGGCTTGAGCTGGGTAGGAAAGCCCAGGTACCCACAGGCGGCCCGTCCCCCAATCTGGATGGCAGCAGTCTGGGCGGTAGCATGCTTGGTGTCCGGCAGAAGCGCCTGGATTGGCCGGCCGGGTTGCAGCGGCCGGAGCTGGAGTCCCCCCTGCCGTCCCCCCATCTCCCCTTCACTCGCTGAGCACCGCCGGCACCAAATGGCAACGCGCCTCTCTCCACGCAGGAGATGCGGCCGCGGCCTGCCGGGACGGGATGGTGCGCCCCCACCGCCACCGCCGCGGCGGGCAGGGCGCGGGCTCCCTCCACCCCGCCCGGCCAACCCAGGGCAGCGGCATCGGCGGGGCATGCGCGCCGGCCCTCGCGGTGAAGGTCAGCCCCAGGCCTAGCAGCAGAACTCCGCGGCAGCACTGGCAGAGGGGGAGGGATACGGGGACTTAACTCCTTCCCTTCGGAAGACCGCCACCAAGGCCTGGGCGGGCCGGGTCCACCAGTCCCCACCCTCTGTGACAGTCCCAGTTCGGGATGCAGCCCTGAGCAAGGGGGAGGGAGGAAGGAAGGTGTTTGGCGGTGGCTTAGAAGGGGAGAAAGAAAGCTGAAAGGAGCCCAGGGGCAGGAGGAACAAAGGAAATGAACACTGAGGGGGAAAAAGAGTGCTTGGAAGACAACCTGCACTAGCGCCCCATCCCCTAGACCCAACAAAACAGTGTGCCTAAAGAACGGAATTAACCTCGAAGATCTGGGAGAGCCTGTGTGTTCGTGTGTGTGTGTGTGTGTGTGTGTGTGTGTGTGTGTGTGTGTGTGT